AAAGGCACACAGGGTTTGCTGCATCTCCTAATACAGTCTCACAAGTGTTCAGGAGTAGCAAGAGACATGAGAAGAGCTGGGCAGGGATATATACATGCACTAACCCTGAAGCTGGACCAGTATGTACTTCTTTGTGTGAGCAGGGCCCTCCAAAATGACCTCCAGTGATCTACTTGTGCATGTTTCCCAACAACATGCCAGAATCAGATGCTATAAGGTTGACATTAGTGTCCTTTATCAGGGCCTGTGCTGACAGACCAACACCATATAGTTTGAATGGCATTCGCCAGAGAACACCAGAACTGGCAGGTCTGCCACAGGTGCTTCATTCTCTTGTCCTATGTGAGCTCTTGTTAGCTTACCACTGTAGGAAAATGCTTCTCTACAAAGCTAAATGCACAAGAATAATATAATTCTTCACAGTGAATTGACTGAATCTTGATTCAGAAAAACATCTGTGTGGAAGAATACAATAATCCATCCATTTGAAGTCTGAATCAAACATAATACTCTTTATAGTGTCACATAAATGCCATTTTATAAGGCCAGTAGAAAAGCTTGCCTTGAGCATAAAGTATAAACTGTTCCTCTCTCCTGAACTTCCTTTCTCAGAAGGTTAACGTGCGGCTGTCAGTCTGAAGCTTCACATCCACTAATCTCAAAGTACTTCGGAGCACATTCTCGATGAAACTCAGTGGGTATGAACAAGTGCACGCTCACACACATATGCTACTTACTCTTCAGCCTGGATAGAGTCCACTGGAGCCACATAATTACTGGGAATGTAGCCGCTGCCACCGGTAGTGAGGGAGCGAGCATCCCACCAGTCCCCTTCACTGAAAGACAAAAAGAGGAATAGGGTGAGGAAAGGAGAACATTCATACAACTTCATTTTATATAAGCTGACACGCTCTGGTCCACTCACTTGTGCAACATATATAGAACTCTATAATCCCTATATAAGTTTAAAATTAAGAAACAGCTAAAAGAAATGCACGTTATCAAAGAACAGCTCAATGAGTTCAGGAGAGCATATTTTAGCCGCTGAAGTAAGAACATAATGATGATATAATAAAGATGTATTTTTTTGAAGCTGAAGCTGGTCCTGATGTTTCCTAACGAGACGAAGAAGAAACTGAGATTCTGGGTTCATCCAATCCTCATGAGAAGGCAGCAGCAAGGAGACTTTCATGGTTTAAACCAGGAGTTCGAGTTAAAGCACCACATCTGGCAGAAGAATAAAATTCACAGAGGCTGAGGTCAAGTAGTACTATACTAGTAATTATAATATATTATAATAATTCAACCAGGATGCATTTTGAGCTACAAGTACACTCGTTGCCAAATGCAGTCATCTGATTGGTCAGTTCTGTTTATCCATCCATCCATCCATTTGCTTCCGCTTCTCCTTTTTAGGGTCGCGGGGGTGCTGGAGCCTATCCCAGCTGTCATAGAGGCGAGAGGCGGGGTACACCCTGGCCAACACACAAGGACAGACAACCATTCGTGCTCACATTCACACCTAGTGGCAATTTGGATTTTCCAATTAACCTATCCCCACAAGCTGCATGTCTTTGGACGGTGGGAGGAAGCCGGAGTACCCGGAG